GTTTTGCTAGATATCTTGAGAGATGGTAGACAGATCGGGTACATAGGGAACCCTACCGTGAATGTTGTCTCATACCGGATAGGGTATCGAGGATTTGTATTTGGCACTCATACCGGACAGGGTATGGGGACGACCTGTTTCATCCTCATACCGAATGGAGTATTGATAGATGATATTTTTTTGACGGTCATACCGAACGGAGTATGAGAACGGCCGGTTAGTGAAAAATATTGAATAAAAGTTCACGCGTAGTGAGTACATTTCTATGGACCCCCATGGATACTAGTAAGCAAATAAAATAGAAAGTTGTTGTTTCGAATGTTTGAATATGAGATTATGATATTGGTTATATTACTATCTCTATAGGCCAATTTTTGAAAATCTCACTACGATAAATATGCGGTAAATGATTTTATTTATGATAAATGAATTTATTTAAATTAAGATCTCCATTAATTATTTTTATAATTTTTATCACCCTTCATTTCTGTATCGGTGAGTAGTATGATATTCTTACTAGACTAGTGTAACTCATTTTTTTATTAACTATTTTAGATCAAAAAGACAAATATCTAGATCTCGATTCATAAGAGAGTTGCAAATAGGATGTTCAATTGTTTACTTTCTAGTTATTTCTTTAATTTTTTGTTATTCTTTTATAATGGTTATTCCCGTAGTCTTATTGGGTATTCTGAATTATTGTGTAAGTGTAAACTCTAACACTATTATTTTACTTCTGCATTCAATTTATAATTTATTTCTTTTTAAGTTCCGGATCACTACAAAAACTGGCCGAAAATGACCAGGCTGAGGCAAACTGTCGCCGCGGGCGGTGGTGCTGCCATGCCAGAATTCTGAAATTGGTCAAAAAAAATATTTTTAACACTGATTTTAGATTTTTTTGGGATATTTCTATGTACGTAAAGCGTGTTTTAATCTATGCAAGAAAAATCATAAAACCTAGGGACCGCTAGTAGGCGTAATAGAAAGTTCAATGTTTTAGATACCGATTCGGGTAAGAATCTTTTACCTTATTCCCTATTGTAGAATTGAAATTTAATTATCAATAATACGGTATTTTGTGTAATTTAAAAAATTTTGAGAATTAATTATAGGTTACTAATGGAGGTAGAACCGGTTATTTATTATTGTTGTCTTGTTTAACTGATTGATTAGTTTTCTAGCTTTAAATGCATGATAATATACTGAAATTGGTAAAATGATTCAGTTGTGCTTCCTTGATGTATGTATTGTTTGTCTTGCATTGATTTACAGTTAAATAGTGAAATTAAAAATTAAATATAAACAGAAAACTGATTGATTAAGTGAATGAATGAATGGTAGCTTTACTGGATATCTTGAGAGATGGTGGATGGACCGGGTACATATAAAACTCTACCATGAACGTCGTCTCATATCGGACGGGGTATCGATGATTGATATTTTGGCGCTCATATCGGACGGGGTATGGTAACGACTTGTTTCACCCTCAAACCGGATGAGATATTGAGGGATGGTATTTTTAGCACTCATACCGGATTGGGTATGGGGACGGCTGGTTGGTTGACAAGGTTAGATGTTGGTTCACGCGTAGTGGGATATCTCTATGAACTCCCATGGATGTCAATAGTCAAATAAAAATAAAAAATTATTATTCTTATTTACTTGAATATAAAATTATGATGTTGTTGAACTATTGTCTTTATAGGTCGGTTTTAAAAATCTCGCAATAGTAAGTATGCAATAAATGATTTTACTTATGATAAATTAATTTACTTAAATTAAGAGCTCCATTGGTTGTTTTTATGATTTTTACCAACCTTTAGTTTATGTATCAGTGAGTAGTGTGATATTCTTACAGGACTAGTGTAGCTCACCCCTTCATTAACTATTTCATATTAAGACGATTAAGATTCAAATTTCGATCAACAAGGGAGTTGTGAATAATTCACCACTTAAACTCCTTCAAAAGGTAGTGAAGGTTGTCATAGGATGCTCAGTTGTTTACTTTTCCTTTATTTCTTTGATTTTTGTTTGTTCTTTTATAATAGACATTCTCGTAGCCCTATTAAGTATTTTAAACTATTGTGTAAGAAATGTAAATTCTAACTCTATTATTTCTTCAATTTATGATTTGATTTCCTTTTAAGTTCCGGACCGTTACATAAAATGTCATAATTATTATTATTGTGGATTGAGTTATAATAATAAGTTT